AATTTGCACATCATCGGATCTCTTGGATTTTAAGGATCTCAAACTTAAGAAAATTCTCATGTTAGGTAATTATCCGAGTTAGATAATTCCATGAATTCAATTTTTCAAATCTTCTATATCAACCATCAATTAAATCACAGACATAGGTACCAAAATTAAATTCAAGGACATTGAATTTATAATTGTCAATATTTCTGGCTTTGAAAAATGGCAATGTGTACACATAATAAATGTCATACATTTAGGACTTAGGAAAATGTACAAAATATTTCAGTGAACAATTCTTAAATTATGAAAGTTTAAACGAAAATAGTATTAAGATCTCCAACCCACATGTTTTCAAGATTGTGAAACTAAAAAAAATAATATCTCTGATACAGATTGTAAGCATAAATTCTTAGAATTTAAATGTAAATAAAAGTTCGCAATATTTGATCAATTATCATAATTTTAAGACAAAGATAAAATTGCAACCGCCTTCCTAGACTGTAATTTCCTAAAAATTCTAATATATGAAAATTTAAAAAAAATGAATTGATTTTGTTTTTGTTTTTGTCTTCATTATTGAGCTTTTTTAGTATTTAAAATTTTAAGAAAATTCTTAGAGATAAGAAAGTAAGACAACATTAGGATTTTAAAATTTCGAAGAATCTTGAATCTGAGTCATTTAAAAAATCATGAAAATCAGGTTATAATTTAATTTCCTTCAGATTTGTAAGATACCTACCGGTTTTCGAATGCTAGGAATTCTAATGTTTGAAAACAAAAAAAGAAGCATTAGATATAAAATCAATATTAAAGCCCCAAATTTAACTTTAATTCTAATCTAATCGAAAGGAATTAACTCAAAACTTGTATGATTGTGCCTTTGTTTGTAAGTAGATACTATTTGAATTTCTTTCTACAAAAGCTTATTTGGTTATATTAATTTTTTATTTGAAATGGAGTAGGTTTTGGTTGAACACATTCGGTATCAATTTATTATTTACTCGTACTTTATAGGGATAAGAGCTTTTTCTGTGTTTTTTTTTTATAGAACGAAAATTTTCTATAATGTTCTAAACCACTATCAACTATTAACTATTCTGAAGTGCTTATTCTAGAAAAAATAACTAAATCACCAGGGTACGGGTCTTACCTATAGAAAATGTACAAACATGTCCATGAAATCTAGATTCATCATTCAATATTCCATCAGATTCTATTGGCTGGAGTACTTTTGAATACTTTATGATCAACCTGCAGTCTTGGAAGAATATACTAGAGATGTCATTTGTACAGTTGCAGATCTTCATAATTTGATCAACCTGAAGTCTTGAAAAATATCCAAAGAATTTTACTAATATCTTTGTTTACCTGGAGATTTTTTGAATATTTCCTGCTGTCTAGGAAGGATATGTCTGAAAGAATATCCTGTAGCGTATGCAACGTTCCCTGAACATTTACAAATCTCCCTTAAGTTTTACAAAATTTCCTCAACCTCAACGGAGTTCCCTGAATTTATTCCAAATTCCATATTTTTTTCCATCTCTCATAATTCTACTTCTTGAAAGACCCCCATCATCTACAAATAGTCTTGAACATCTGGAAAGTTCCTTGAAATTTAACGAAGCTCCCAAAACTTTCAAGACGTTCATTGAGCTTTTTTGAAGTAAAAACTCTGACGAAAAAAGAAGCTCAAACCACCTTCAAACGTCAATAACCTAGCATCTCGACTCTCTCAACTTCAAACCATAAGAGATGAACTAGCCTATGGCTAAAAATCTCTTTAATAAAGAAAAAAAAAAAAAAAAGCTTCAAACCATGGATGAAGAATTTAATTAAAATATAACTTCTAAATATTCTTCACGCTTATTGGGTGATAACTTGACTCAACCATTGTATTTTTTAACCTGAGATAGTTCATCAGTTCTCAATAATTGTAGATTGATAAATCGCTCTAGCATCTTGTTTTTTGTGCTATTCCACCTAGTTTCATGGTAATAAATTCTCAATTTTCATGTACACCTGTCGAAATGGGAGATATTAGATGCGTTTTCTATCAACTAAAAACTAAAAATTTTATTAAACTTCATCTTCATGCGCTTTTTTACCTGAAATTTTTCCATCTGGACCACAGTGCATTGATTTCATTTGGACATGTTCCGGGTCCCCCAGATAGTTACAAGGAAAAAGTGTCAGATCTCACCATAACTGCTTTGTTTTTTGTTAACTCAGTTTTGTAATATATTCGGTAATTTTCAACGGATTTCTGATGCTGGAAAGAATATTAGTTCCACTTTCTTATGTTTTATTTGGTCATGGTGGGTTTCGCATAGAAAATGACCATAAGAAGTACCTAACCACCTATTCGGGATATCATCCCAACCTTATGTGATATATTTGGTTGTTCGGTTGTATGGAGATTTCGTTTTTTTGGCTTTCTCAGTCTAGGGTAATTCAAACAGTTAGTTGTGGCAATGCACAACTAACTGTTTGAATTACCCTAGACTGAGAAAGCCAAAAAAACGAAATTTTATGTGATATAGTTGCACCATTTGTGATACAGCTCGTGTATAGTACCCGTTTATTAGGGTTGGTACGTTGTTCGTTCTATTTTTGGATTTTCAATTTTTTGTCGAGTCGGTAGAGCTCATAAAAACATCTAGTAGGATGCTACATAGTCGATTTTTTTTTCGAAAATACAATTACAAAATAGGTAGCAAAATCGAGAAATTAATGAAAATTTAAGAAAATAACCTTTAAAACGATATAAAAAAGTTGAAAACGGATAAATAGAATCCGAGATACATCATTTTGACAAAAGTGTCTGATTCATTTTCAGTTTGGTGCTCGAAGATTTAAATTGCTTGTTGCCTTAGCCTTAGTCATGAAGGTAAATGTTTTTTTTTTGTTTATTAATTTATTTGATAAGGCTCAACCGAATTAACTTTACAGAGCCGAGGATTCTTGGTCACTATACAATACATCTTAAAACTATAGTCAAAAGATACAACACAATAAACACTTTATCTTCCGCTATCCAAAAAGCTTCTTCCATCAGAACTGGAGCCGCTTCCAGTAGTTTCATTGTATGGCAAATTGTTGTACGCCAACGAGGGTCAGAGCGCGTCCATTGCAGCAATGGACGCAAAACGTGGTCAGCACTCACACACTCATCACGAAACGGTTGCTTTCCAAAGTCGACGACGCATCGACCGAAAGAACTGCTGATGAAGAACAATGAGGAGGACCACACAATGGTTGCTGCCGAGAAAACAGACGATCGCGTAGCACACATCGAGAGTGGCCTGCTTTTGTCGACAGCCGAGTGAACACTGAAGGTAAATGTTGTCAGATTGATTTTTTTTAAACTTTATTTAAGAGATTTTTAGCCTTAGGCTAGTTCATCTCTTAGTCAGATTGATATAAACTAAATTAATGAAGTAAAATTGAAAAAAAACAATGCAGTTAATTAAAGTCTGGTCCATTTAGAATCCGGGCACTTTATTTATTGTATCGCAGCGCCTCTAGTAATCGGATTTAAAATGTTTTGAAAGTACACGTGTTTCAGTGGTGAAAGTATCGTCTCAATACGTGCAGTATTAAAAAAAAAGTTGTACTAGATGGAAGACGAGACAAGAAAATTGATCCTGCATACCGACGTCGAAAACCCAACGTGGTAAATTATAAATATCGCGAAAAAGTTGAAAATTGTCCGTTCCCGGAGTTTTAAAGCAAGTTCAAGCTTGTTTTCGCCGATAAATTTGCCCGAAAACTGATGACCTAATGTTGAGAAAAAAATGGCCGCTGAAGTTGAGCAGTGTGAGGCAGATGATGGCGGAAATTCCAAAGAAAGTCCGCGTGTTCATCCGAACGCCATCAGAGTAATTTTACATTTTTTTTTTATGAAAGTACAATAAAATACCTTCTTTTTGACTAAATTATATTTTTCTTACGTCAAATCAATCCCTAGAAACACCTAGTTTTATGTGTCCGGATTCTAAGTGGACCAGACTTTAATTGATTAACAATTTTAAGCTTCACCACAAAAAAAAATTACATTGATTTGAAATATGTCATCTCGAAACTCGAGTAATCAATGTGTGTATATTATTTTGTATCACATTCTTATGCAAAGCTCGTAGCATGGTTATAACACTAACTTAGTGTTTGATTCAATTTTGGAACAGTTTCATGGCTCTGAAATACGAAATTGAATTACAAAAGCCTTTGTACTAAATTGGTAGGTACCCTAATAAACAAATACCATAAACGAACTGTATCCCGGATGGGTAAACTATCCCACAAATGGTTTGGATGATACCCCGAACACGTCGTTAAGCTCTCTTTTATGGTTATTTTTATCAAGGTATGCTATTGAACAAAAGCTTTTAAAGCGTCAAGTATTCATTTTACTCCTACTTCATCTATGAACCTGTTAAACATTGGAAATAGAACACTTGCACTTGATCAATTTATTCAATGCACTTCTAGGTAATGCTACTCGATAATTACGTTGAGCCCCTGGATTGACTAGTCAGTAAAAAAACATACCATGTCAGAGGCGACGGGTTTCCGCTTGGAAGTTTTATCGACTTTCCCTGCCTGGATATAGAACAGTGATGAACAAAGTACGGTCCGCGAGTCACACAGAAAAATCTCAATCCACAGCTGAGGACAAGCGTTAAATTTCCAATTGGAACGTAATAGACAACAAGAGCACACATGATTACGTTAATTGCCATTTCGAAACAGAATCCTTCCAATGTGGCATTAGCGGTTACAGAGCAATGCAATATCATATGCATCCCTTTGTAAGTGCAAATGCAACTCTGATAACATCTAGTAAAGTGGGCTATAAACTGTAATAAATAGCTTTCGATTTGAATGACCGGATTGGATATCCACACACACGAAATCAATCTTGCAACAATTTGACAACACTGACTACCCGTTCCATCGCATTTAAACCAACATGATGTTAATCCATCTGTAAGATAAAAGCCTTTCTCGCTTACCGTTTCCTCCGAGACTAACACGCCTCTCTTCCGGCACCAAAAGCGAAATGACAACACCCGCCGCCTTCTGTGATCGCAAAAATTTACATTTATCCTTTTGGCTTTACGAGACTTGTTGTTCTGCAGCGCCTACTACCAGGATGCCCCCGGCAGTGAACAGCAGTTGTTGGGCATTACTCCGGAGGTGCTGCTACCAATCACTGAGACAAACGCGCTCTCGCCTCGCCTACTGCTATTAGTCTCCTACCGTTTCCTCTCCTCTTTCTCTCGCTCAACACCGAAAGATGATTCCCGATGCTGATGGGTTATATAATCACACTTTTGCCCCAACAGATTGTGACGATGGCCAAGTACCTTTCGCTTTCTCTGGGTGCTGTTTGTTTATTCCACCTACCACCACCCACCGACTCGGAATCGGTAATCGATCTCGCGACACAATAAGGCCCTGTCCCTTTTTTTTTTGCTTTATACTTGTCGCAACGGTATGGGCTATTGTTAGGATGAAAACCGACGCACCGCAATTCTTGTGAGAGCAATACACATTCCCTTGTCCCGAACTTTTGTGTCCCTCGGCGGTCGTTTTACCTAATACAGCAATTATTATCACTTCTTTTTCCACCATGAAATATCACTCTCCAGGATCACATTTTCTTTCATACTGATTGATTGGATTGCTCAAGTTTGTCGTTACGCTTTTCTTATTCGTCGATTCAATGATATTTGAACCCCTTTTTTGCCAGGGTGATATGAGTTCTATACTACTCACTCCGATATAGAAAAAGCTTAGCTCATTAAGATAGGGGTTCGAAGGAAGCCAAAATTTTCTTTTGTATCACAATTGATTGATTTCGCTTGATTAATTTTTCTGCTAATTTGATTTTTTTTGCGGATCACATACAGCTTTCATTACTCTTCAGCTAAGCACAAGCACATAGAGAATTGGTTTCAAATAAGTACGATTAGAAGCAAGTTAATATCAAATAAAAACACGCAATTTTGTTCAGTCAAGTTTCAGTAGATTTCTGGTGATGGCATCTAGTAGTAGTAGTAGTAGAAAAGTGTGGAGTAGTATTTTTCTTCCTTCCCTATAGGGTTGGATGTTGCTGCAGTAGTTTGGTGTTTCAGTCAGTGTCGGAGAATGGAGTAGAGAAGACTGAATGCGAATCCTGCTCGGAGGCTCACTCGATCCTAAGGTGTCCGATTTCGCTTGGGTCTCACTAGGCACCGGACATATACAATGGTTTTCTAGGGCTGGGAAGGATTCGAGAGAAAGCGAGAGTACGTACACATTTGAAAGAGCGAGGGAGATAATTTTCCGAGAGAGCATAGGATGTTTGCGGCGTACTCAGCATTTCCTTTTAGTTTCGAGAGCTTTTGGTTGAGCGTGAAGGCCGGTCTGTTTTTCTTTTATTCATTTCTACCTTCGTGTCAACTGTTTAATATCGGTAACCACTGGTTACGCCAGCTTGTTCTGAAACTCGAAGGGGTACATTCAATAATGACGTAAGCAGTTTTATTTTTATTTTGCAAAATTATAACATTTAGTAATATGTATATCTCCATGTTTCAAACATAATCTGGTCTTATTTCGTAACAAAGAATATTGTCAACCCATTATCACACAAAAAGGCAAAACATAGCAGGTGTAACATTTGATAACGGCACAAAAATATTTGTAAACAAACTTTCTAAGGCCCTTTACACGCTAACCAAAGTACGCCCACGCAAACCAACACCACTTCCGGAAAGGTGAGAGTTGTCCCTATCCGATGATTTTGTTGGTTTGCGTGAGCGTACTTCGGTTCGCGTGTAAAGGGCCTTAAGAAGTTTGTTTACAAAAGCCTTTGTGCCGTTATCAAATGTTACGCCTGATATATAGTTTGAATAAAACAGCAAAAAAAAGCAAAAAGGGTTATCTTCCATTTAATTCCACTTAAATAATTTTGGTAACCATGACAGATACGTATTTCGACTACAATGTGCAGTCTTCATCAGTGTCATTCCCGCTTATAGTGTTAAGATTGATGTACTTGCCTTAACTGCTATTTGAAAAAAGAAATAAGACTATGAAATCACAACCTATCCGTTTTCAAAACTGCAATAACTAGTATCAAGATATTCTAGCACGATTTTCACAACATAGCATTTATTTCTATATCATCCACATCATCACAAATAATCTCATTAAAAACAGGCCATCATCACCATCATAATGAAAACTCTATCCCGGTGAATTATTAAAATGTAGGTCATGACCACCGCTCGTTCTCAGTCCGGCGAGCGGCCTGCTTGGATCTATCATCGTACAGGCAGTGACCATGTGCCACTATGTTGCCATAGTCCCCAATCATATTCGCCGTGGCGTAAATAATTGAGTGTCAATCTACGCTAAACGACAGTTGTCGCTTTGCTTCGCTCGCTCAGTAGCGAGACGCGCCACCCTTGCCATCGATCAACTGCACGTGACCTGAACGTTAGCTACCGAGGATACTAACCGTACTCTGCGAATAATTAAGGACTCGGCCATCCCAGTGGCGTTTGCTTTGTACTGTTATAGCAGGAGACGATGGCAGGACAGAAATGATATATAAACCTTTAATTGCTATGTTTTATTGCTGAATACGACCAGGCCGCTTGGATTTGATAGGGGATTTATATGGAAAGAAAATAGTGCATGGCAAGCTTTTTGACGAGCTTTGCTTCTTTGCACGGGTAGGACTGTTATCATTCTAGCGATGCTGATGATTAGTAAAAGTCACGCGATGCTTTTAGCTGCCTTATGTGAATGAAGTCACGAACAGCCTTTGATTTTCTGCTTTGATAGAGGACCTTTTAAGAACCACTCATTTCTTTTTGTGTAATATTTAATGGATATTAAATATTGTGCATTTTTTTTATAATCAACCAAAGATGCTGTTGAGAATTCTGCACACAAAACAGAATTGATTGTTCGTCAACTCGTTCAGGGTACGGGGTTTCACTTTTTTTTTCTGCTACCTCATTCAACAGGTTCTGCTACATCACCTTTTGCTTGTTGTATTATTGTAAAACTTTTCAACAGGTAACAAAGATTCATTTTTCTTTTCGGTATTAATGGAGTGTTTACACTTGTGCTGGTGTGCTAGCGCTAGTGTACAAGAACTGTACTAAAAAGCAGTCAGCATAATATAAACAGGCCGTCAGCATCTACCAGCATGAGACTTCAGAAGCAACTGACAGTTGGTTGAGCTGGTTGAGCTAGTGAACTAGCATAAGTGTAAACACCCCAGAAAGCCCTCAGAACCGTGTCTGCGTTTTCACATTTCACTCCATTACCTAAATCAAAATAGCAACACACGCTATGTGGTGCTTTCTCTCGAAACCGACTATGTACATCAAAGCAACCTGAAAAGGAGCACAGAAATTCTCCGGGGTCACGCTTCCGCCTTCCGGCTTTAGAAACACAAAGCAACCACTAAATGAAAACCATTTCACGTTGCTTCGCCCACTCTCTGCGTTCACCACATCGAAGGAGGCCATGAAAAAAAGGAAAAAAAGATGAATGTGTACCACCAGCGGGCACACAGTTGCCGCCTACTGCACCTTTCCACCCAGGTGAAGAAGCGCCAGTTAAAAAGGGGTGGCTTTCTTGCTATCGCTTAGCTTCAAAAAGAGATGGCTAAATAGCAGAGTTTTTACTAAAACGATGATACACGTGCAGTTCAAGGCTTCCGCTGCATTGAGACCAGAGCTATTCAAATCTGAGATTGAAAAAAGAGTCTTTTGAATTGCGTAAATAAAAGCAAATATTGTGTGACCCTGGAAAGTAAATGGAATCTTGTGGTCGTTCTTTATATGCAAGTAAATATTCATGTTCTACTTTTCGAAACAGTTGAGATGAAAATGTATTTAAAAAAAAATGAACAATTCGGCTATTCAACAAACTATTCCGCTAAAATGTTGACGTTTACTTCCATTTGTTTAAGGTACATTTGCAAATTTCTCCATGATTAACCGTCGTTGCTCTGCCCGTAATTCCCTCTCTACTTGGCGTTTCTTCGATAAGCGATCGTGAACACGTTTCATCTCAAGAATCTCCTTCATCTCTTCTTTATCTTCGTCCTGAGAGACAAGAAAAAAAAAAGCAATTAAAATTGAACCTTAGCTATGTAAACAACATGACAAAATAGTAACACCAACTGCTTTCCAAGGACAAGGCCAATGAATTTATAATTACCGTCATATTCAATCGCAGCACCAGTGCTCGTCTTCCGTCCGACATCGGTTCGCTATAGTTCATGAAGTTCTTTAGCCGTTCGCTCGGAGGAACCCCTCGCTCCACCACCAAAACGATTCGGGCCCACTGCCGTTGCCACTCGTTCTTGGTTTCCGCAATCTTGGTGTACGTGTTACCCATCATGGCGATGAGCAAGTTTACCAGCAAGGTGGCTACGATTACCATGAATATGACGAAGAGAACCTGGAAAGGATAATACGTATTGTGTTTAGTAAATAGAGAGTTTCCAACTCCCAAAGTTTGGCCTCATGTCATTAAAATCTAGCTTGCATCAAAGTGTGGGTCCAATTTTGGCAACACGTTTCCAATTTACTTGGCTTGTGCTCTGTTCTAAAAAAAATAATATTTTTCTAAGATTTTCAGGATATTTGTGAGGCATTGGACGTGGCCATTCAGGTATCCAATTATTAAAATTGTGGAACACTTAACAACATACGTGTGTTGTCAAAATCTTATGCTTTGAGTTGACCAAAACTTTTATTCATGTCTCACTAATAAAAAAAACCTTGATAGCAGTAAATCTGTGTTTTTGAAATTATTTCACCTACAACAAGGAGCATATAATTTCCAGTCATGGTTTACCTTTGCAAATTTTGTAACATTGCATATTGAATTTCCATATAAATCCCAAAGTAACGTACCTTAGCGCATCCCTCGTGTTCGGTTTTGTCCAACGCACCATAGTAATCGCCAAAGTTCGTTAACGACATCAAAAACATTGCCACAATGGACTCCATCGGAGAAGGCATGGGATTTTCGTCGCCTTCCTCCTCGCCTTTGAACGACAGGAACACTATATAGTAGGCCTGGGAAAATCCCATCACAAACACCAAGTAGATAACAACGAAACGCAACAAGTCTCCCATCACCATGCGGTAAATCATCACTACGAATGGTCCAACAGTTTTGAAACCACTATAAAGGAATGAACATTAGCGTTGGTCTGTTAATAACGGATCAAAATCATCGCATACCGGCAGAAGAACAAAAAGTATGGAGCCGTGGTCAACATTATCGTCACAGCCACATGGTCCTCGAGTTCAATTAAGCAAAGCACTTTCAGAAACGGTACAATCATCATGATGCAGCAGGAAAACAGGAACATTACTCGTGACGGAGCAGTCATCTGTTAAATATTCCAATCTGTTAAGCGTTTCCACCTAAAATTCATAACTTACCAGATTTTCAATAAACATTTTTCGACCTAGAAAGCGAAATTCTCGTAATGCTCCAACCAAGTACAGGAAAGATCCTATGAGGATTATTATCTCCGAAACGAGACGAATTTTATCCTCAGTTGTGTCGTATGCCATGGTAGCGCATTTGGAATTGAAAAATATGTTCGCATCAATGGCCGAAGGATCAAAGAGAGTTTCATTTAGATTGAATTGAACGATTTTTTCATTGGCATCTGCCATGAGAAGGGTGGTTGCATTTCTCAAACCTGGAAGTGTCGAATTCTTTATTTGTACGCTCGTAGCTGTTCGGTTTGCTTCCGCATCTTCGAGATTCATTGGTCCCCTTCGTAGTGTAAAGCTTACGAGTGAAACGCAGAAATACCAGAAGAACACGAAAAATTGGCGGTAGAACTTGTCCTTGACGAACGAATTCCACTTGGTCTTTAGTAGGTCGATTAATACACCTTCCAGTAAATCCAAATGCTCGTCTTTGTCACCGAATACTACTAAATTCAATGCTGAATCCTTGTTGATGTTTCCGGTTTCGATATCGATGGTATCGATCAAAACCAACGGATAGGCCGCACAAGTGATGCTTCCCAATTGCCAGTAAATCTCTCGTTCGATATTCATTATGTGGAAAAACATTTCAACGCGGCCTAACTTTGCTGCTAAGGTCAAAGGAGTTAAATTCTGTAAATTCCTAATGTCCAGCGAAGATCCTACTTCGTAGCCCATGTCAAATGATGTCACTTTTTCGTAGATTACCAGCATGTGCAAAACGGTATTTCCATTAGAGTCCTGATTATCCGGATCGGCTCCTCGTGCTAGAACCAAACGGTAGCACTCCTCCTGACCTAAGCAGGCTGCAAAACTCAGCGGGTACTCGCCCCAATACACGTACCCATCATAGTTGGTCATGGGAAGTACACAAATTATTTCCGTGTCTAGCGAATCGTATCTCGTCGCTTTCTGATCCTCTGGACACATGAATGTTCCGCAACAACGTTCATTCACGTCGGATCCACTGTCCAGTAGATATTTTACCATTGCAGGATCTTCGTTGACGATCGCCAAGTGAAGCACACTTTCCCCGTAATATTCATCGCACATGTACACATCGTTGATAAGCTTGGGATAGAACCGCAGCAGGCGTTTGGCAAGATCGGCATGCAGAGATGTTGCATTCAGCAGGCATAGATGCAGAATAGTTTCACCGACTGCTCCGCGTTCCTAGAACATGCAATGGAAATTATTCAATCAAAGCAACCATCGACTGCGTTCAACAGTTTCTCACGCTCACTGCTTCAGGTTTTGGCGCGCTTGTCCTTTCTCATCCTTATAATCTCACTCACCTTGATGTTCCAACACACCTCTCTGTACCCCGAGGGGTTCCTCTGGTACTCGCCCTCGCTTACTATCGGACAAACTGCGTCAATATCAAAGTCCTCTTCTGGGTTTTCCAGTGCCCGAATATCGGGCAACTGTTTGGACCGTGGCCGTTCCCGATTTCGTAACAGAACCAACTGGGCCACCGGGATATACTTCCCTTTACCTTTATTGTACAGGAATGGCTCGACTTTGGTTTTTAAGGCATGATCTATTTCTGCATATTGTTTATTTTGGATTGCTCTTTTCATCATATCCACCAGAAGACCACCTCCTTTTAAGTTGACAAATTTGTATAGCGCCTGAGTGGATACTCCGGCCTGCTTCTTAACACCACTGGTAACATTACTTTCCGTGTTTCCCATGGCAGTAGATGGACCCTATCCGTGGATTTTTACAACTTTTACATAACAATTTTCGTACAAAAATCCAAACTAGCGCGAAAATGCTGCCAAATTTTCCGGAAGAAATTTTCTCACTGATGCGAATATCGAACCAACGACCAAAATGTGTTTCCTTGGAAGCGACACGGCAGCAAAATGCAAGAGCAGTTATATTCGCCGTGTGCCATGTGCTTTTTGCATGCCGGCACTAGGGAAACATAGGTGCTGACAGATTGCCTCGTCGGGACTGGTTATTATTTACTCGTAAAATTGAATTACACTGCTGTAATTGACTCTGTTGAACTCCACTGCTTGAAAAAAAAACCCCGGCTGTTAAATTAATTTTCAAATCATAAATTTCTTGTATACAATTTTCAGAAGCTCATGGAACAACATGTATCGATTAGTGGAAGTTGGAATAGCGTATAAATCTACAAACTAGCCTTCAAAGACTGCATTGTGAAATTTATATTAGTAGGCTCTTACAAATTCTGCAAACTCAATGTGGGATCGAAATGTTCGCCTTGGTAGTTTTATTACGCTCTAGAAGTCCCTGAAAAGTTTCCTAAGGAGCCTCAACCTCCAACAATTGAAGCAATTCTAAATTTAAGGGTATTCCAGAAAGTATGGCGGATGTTAAGGTGATTCCTTGTAGAGTCCACAAATGGCCGCCACGTAGGCTATACATGCACTTCCACTACGAATTTTCAATTACACAAATCCCGGAATTTAATGCTCCATTTCACCTGATATTGCTACTTCATGTATGCTGCAGTACAGCAAACGTGAAGTAACAGTTTCAATGTGGTACGTTTCGAGGAAGCTGATATTTGTGCACTTAAAGTTTCGAAGTGGTTACGAGAACAAGGATCTCACAGCGAAACACCTTAAGAAAAATTTCCATCCGGCGGCTACCGTAGAGTTCTACCGCAGCTGTCAAAGTTCTGCCGCCAGTATGAAAATGGGATGAATGCTGAAAAAAACATAGTGTGCATTGACAAACTTGAAGCTTGTTTGTGGGCGATTCATTGACGGTAAAACGGAAATAAATCTCTGGAAGCACTTTAGTAGGCCACGCTGAAAACTGACATGTGTGTTTTGTTTTTGCTATTGGTTTTCTTTCGTGAATTATTATTATTTAACTTTATTAGGGAGGCTTTCAGCCTTGGGCTGGTTCGCCTCCAACCTCTTTCGTGAACTTTGAGACTAGAGGAGACTCACCCTAGTGGCTCAACCAAGACTCCCGGATATCTAGCTCAGTAGCATGAGACCCCTGAACTGTGTCACAGGGCCGGCATGCTACTTGGTAATTCGGAGGGGTACGCGGAACAAACTGTGTAGAAACTGTGGGATTTCTTAAGTGATAGTGAAATTAATTGGAAGCTAAAGTGTGGGTGGAAAAAGTCTAGAAGTTTATTAAAATGGAACTATGGTGCGGATGGTTTTATTGGGCTATTATGGGGTGTGTTCTGTGGATTTCTGCTTCCTTGGTACGTATCGGTGGTGTTTGCTGGACGATGGCGGTGATTATATTGGACAGCTGTTGTTTGACCGCGATGGCGATCCGTGGCTTAATCACTCCGTCGACAATGGCGGATCGGTGTCTTAAACTGGTCTGGAAGATGGTGCCTGGTGACTGGAGCTGTGATCACTACAATGGCGGGTTTGAGGCTTGGGTTTGCGCGTTGCGATGGCGGTTTGCAACCAGGGAATATAGCAATCCCTGTGCAGCTACTGAAGTAGCCTTTTCGGTGTCAACGGCGTCTCCCTTCGTTGGCGAACATCAGCTGACCGTGACAAGGCCACCTTGGTCGAGCCGAAAAAGGTCTACCTCCTTAACAATTAGGACTACCGAGTCCGAGGATGCTCTCCTTTCTGGCAATTATTAAGCCGGAGAGTTGAAGGTCCTTGACATTTAGACCAAGACAGTCGAGACTGACTTGGTCGAAAAGTGCCGATCGTGAGGATATCCGTGGAATACAAAAAAAGGTCCTGAAGGACAAATGGTTGTTTAAAACCAAGCCAAAATCATTTTTGGTCAAATTCAGTTACCTAAATGAACACCAGGAACATAAAAAGGTCGTTCTCTGCACTTTGGTTCACTTTTGCACTCCACTCACGTCTTCTAGGCACAAACGCCGGTTTACTTCTGGGCAATGGTTGACCATCCCAGCTATCAAAAGCCCTCCTTTTCCCATCCAGTTTTCAATTCGATATTATTTTCTCTATTTTCCTTCCTTGTAGCTTATCACCACCCATCCATATCACCTACCTACTAAGACAGATTTATACATTTTTCAATAACAGCAATTTTACCTACAATCCTACTAATCCTACTAACCCAACACTGACACTAAACAAACACTACAGTTTCCTAAAACAACATGCACAAATTAAAACCTAGGACATTGTAACTAAACGGTTACAACTTTACGGAATCTTTATGGAAAATTCAGTGTGGAAAACGGGAAGCTGTACAAAGGTGTACAAAAGCATTTAAAACCACATTAGTAGTGTTAGCATGTGTGGGCGAGCTACCAGTTACGCCAAATTGACGATCAAATGCATTGTTTACAAAAGCTGATACGTCCCTTTGAAAAAGTAATCGAGATTTAGTCTTTAATCAATTAGTACAATAAATCAAAAAAAACAACGAAAAAGTGTTGAATGTATTAGCTAATTCAACTTACGTTCACTGTCTGCATATCAATAGGGTAAATCAATAGCTATAGCGCTCCACCCATTAAAGAATTTTGGAAGGGTTCAATCAGTAATACCTCGTTCATATTACAGCCTATGTCACGTAATATAGGCTCTCTTGCAATGAGCACTCATACATAGGATTTCCAGTGAAAACTACAGGGTGGGGCAAGGTGGGGCAATTGCCACACCTTTTGTAAATAAGATTGTTATTTCCACATTTACAAAATAATTATATAAAATAACTTGATTTCTTGATAACTTGATTTGAAGGTAAAATAACTTCATTTCATAATATAAGAGCACTGAAAACCTTTGAGATGGTGCCTTAAAATAGCACCACAAAGGTGCATGAAGGGATAAACTTCAATGAAATTTGTTGGTCAAAAAATTGCACCACAGTGGAGTGGTGCATACAAAAAATTTCTGGTGCTATTTTTTTTTTTTTTCAAGGTGGTTCATGGAGGGTTAAAAGAAGAGGGTAAATTTAAGGTTGAAAAAATTCACCTTCGTGATGGTAAATTGAAGAAATAGATTTTTATTGAATATTTCTGGTGTAAAAATATCATCAAGGTGGTACATGGAGGAACAAATCAAAATGAATAACTCTGGTGGAAAAATTGAATAACGCCAAAAATTTTGAGGCGCACATTCAACTGAAAATTTCTGGTGGAAAGTTCGCATAACTGTGGTGAATGTAAAAGCAAGGTTTATTCATTTTTCTGGTGCATAATTTGCATCGTTCTGATGAATGCAAGCTTCATTGACAATTTATGGTGGAAAATTTGCACCATTCTGGTGCATGAAGAGACAAAGTCTGAAATTTGCACCACAAAGGTGCATGGTGAAACAAACTTCACTGACAATTTTTGGTGCAACGTTGTAGTGAATGGAGGAGCATGCTTTACTGAAAATTTATGATGCAAAATTTGAAAAATGAACAGAAAATGTCTGGTGGAAAACTTGCACTGGTCAGGTAAATGAAGGCACAGGCTTTATTTAAAATTAAACTATTTTGAACATTTCTGGTGGAAAATCTGTACCGTTCTGGTGAACGGATTGGAAAGCTTTTCTGAAAATTTTAGGTGTTTAATTTACATCCTTCTCTGAATAGAGAAACAAATTTCAATAATAATTTCTGGTGGAAAATCTGCACCATTCTGATGATTGGAGGGAAGCTGCTTTACTGAAAATTTATGATGAAAAATCTGAAAATAGAGGCAAGCTTTATTTGGTTGTAAACCTGCAACATTCTGATGATAGGAGAAGCAATCTATGTTGAAAATGTCTGGTGAAAAATGAAAAAAGGAAATGTGCACTAATCAGAAGATTGGAGAAGCAATTTTTATTGAACATTAACGGTGGAAAATTGGCATCGTGCTGGTCATTGAAATTTTCTGGTGTAGAATTACCTGGGGACAAGTTTGTATTGAAAATTTCTGGTGTAAGATTTGCAACAATCTGCTGCATGGAGGGGCAAGCTGAATTGAAAATTCCTGATGTAAAAATTGCTCAGTTCTAGTGAATGGAGGGGCAACCTTTATTGAACATTACTGGTATAAAAACTACAACGTTTATGTGAATGGACGGACAACTTAAACTTGACTTCCGAGAAGAACCTCACGGGTATTTAATTCTGAGGACAGTATCAGAAGAAAAAAGTTCTGAGATTGATTTCATGAAAATTCTGCGAATAATTTCTAGTGAATCCTGCAGATAGGTCCAAGATAATTTCGAAAAAAAAACGAGAGAATCAAATTTTGAATTAAATTCCAAAGGGATGTTGAAGAAAATTTCAAGAGAATTCCCAGGATGATTTCAAGCTCATTCTGCAAATAATTTCTGCAGAATACGGGAAATTCTTCAGAAACTTTAGGGGAATTTCAGTACCAAGGTGTTCTGGAGAAAAAAAAAATTTAGAAATATTCCGAGAAGAACCTTAAGGATATTGAATTTTTAGGACAGTTCCAAAATATTTCTGGGGAGAATTCAAAGAAAATTCTGCGGATAATTTCTAGTGCCTCCTGTTTTTAAGTTTGAAAAGAATACCGAGAAAATCAAATTTTGAGTGAAATCCCAAAGGGGTTTTTAAGCAAAATTTCAAGCGAATTCCGCGGATAACTTCTAGCCCATTCCGGGAAAAATTTCTGAAACTCTAAAGGAATTTCAGTTTCAAGGTGTTCTGAGAAAAAAACATGAAGAGTTCTAAGTATAATTCCAGTGCACTTCTGAGAAGAATTTCAAAAGAGCTTTTAAAAGAGTTCTAAAAATATCCGAGAAGA